CCCTCCCACCTCCACCATCCCGCCCACTCCCCGCCGACCCCCGCCAATCACGCGCCACCTTACCGAGAGCAGAGCGAAGCTCCTCCCCCACTTGTGTCCTCTTGCTCATCGAGAAGTTTGAGAGGTGAGAGATCGCAATCAGTCAAGCGCTTTTTAGATTACGCCAGAGTTTATTATTCATAACTACCGATCTGATTTGGTGCTTTTAAGTAATGATATCTCCGTTTGTTGATCACAGGTAATCAAGAAGTTATATTTTTAATCTCTCTGCAAAAAATTATTTATTAATCAATATTTTTGACTTGTTTTCCAGTAAAATATTTAAATATCCTAAAAACAAGATGTACTTGAGAACCAGAATTGCATAATAATATTAAGATTATAATTTTTTTTAGAAAATATAGCTAGAGTTTCTTTTTTTTAACCATAAATCTTACTAAATTGAGCTTTTTATTTACTTTAATTAAAAATGTTATGATAAGCAAGATGTGCTTGGGAAGAAGAATTGTGTAAGATATTAAGACATTAGTTTTAAATTGAATTTGCCAATGGGGTAAGAAAGAATTAATCTAATATACAGTATGTTCTCTGAAAACAAGTGTTAATATCTTTTTTTAGCAGATTTGCTTCTAAAGTAAATGTTTGTCTTAAGGATATTAAGAAAAAAAAAACAAGACAAAAATACTTAAAGGAAATTAAAATGTTATATTATTTTATTTTTTATTTTAATTTAATTTAATGTATTATTTTGTTTTTATTATATTTTATTATTTTAATACAGTGCTCACAATGTGATGTATTTTAGATATTTATATACACATATTTAGAAATGTTTGCCAAAATGTAACGTGAATAAAGTTTTTTTTTTTATCTCTTATTTTTTTAGGGAGCAGATCATCGTGGTGCCAGATATCACCGGGGGAGTGACGTGTACCCCACGGTTCCCTGAACAGCAGACCGCTTCTGGGTCATTTAGCCCTCCACCCTCAGAGTTCATCCTGCCCTGCACGTCTCTTCAGGAACCACTAGAGGCGCCGCTGGCCGAGGAGGAGGTGGAGAAAGAAGAAAAGGAGGAGGAAGAAGAGGTGGACGAAACCGAGGAGGATGACAGCGAACTCGGGGCTTCCTGCTCAGAAAAGCGTCTCTCTATGGAATCGGGCTATGGTGCCTCTGATAAACTGCTGGACACTATGGAAATTAGGGACCTTACAGCCAACCAATCAGAAATCCCCTCGGATCGCTTGTCCCTCCCTCCGTCACAGATGGATGGGAAGCTGGCCAATAGAGACAGTGGTATCGACAGCATCAGCTCGCCCTCACACAGCGAGGAGCTCTGCTTTGTTGGGGACGAGGATCGAGTCGGTCACGAGAGGGAGATTTGCCCCTGCAGCCCAGGGCCCGGGCTTCCTTGCGGCTATGCCGAGGGGCCCGGAGGAGAGGGGGCCAGTGGTGTGGAGGGCAGCAGAGACTCAGAGGGAGACAGTGATATGGAGGAGGGCAGCGGGGATGAGAGTGAGATGAACCCCATGGCCCTACAACCTCTGCCTAAAGCTGAACGACAAGACTCCACTGAGGTGAGGAGTGTGACACTCCACTGAAGTGTGTTCTTTAGACACTCTACTTATTTACCTACTTATTCATTTATTTATTCATAAGGTGGGAAAATGATGAAATAATTTAATCATGAATTGATCTTACTTTTAAATACCTGGGTATTACCAAAGACTTATTTCCATATTCTAAATATACATAAACACATGCAGCTTAATTAATTTTAAAGATAAATTACAAATTTGGTGCAAGAAACCCTGATTAAAATACATATTTTTAATATATGAATTTACACACACATTATATTATTAAATATATATCTATATTTTATCATTTATTTTTTATTTATTTAATACAATTATAATTTATTTTTTATTTAATACAATTTGTACATTATAAATATTTGTATTAATTTATTGTCATTATACAATTTTTGATTAATAAAAAAATATAATGTATAATCATTTTTTTAATCATTTTTAATTTTTTATATTATGAAATATATATTAAAATATAAAAGTTAATAATATAAAAAAAACTTTTTCAAAATCACAAAATTCTTAATTTATTAAGATCAATTTATTATGCTTCTAAAGTATTAAATAATTTATTTAATATGAATTTATTAAATTTGAATGTTTTTTAAAGTTCTTACTGTTAGAAGTACATCTTGACAAAAGCTAAACTTCAGAATGAGACTTATTTTATGCACTTCAGTCCAACTTGTTGTCACAGGTGTGTTCAAACTCATTGTTCAGCCAGCATCTTCTCGTTTTGCAGCTGTCAGTCCAGCAGCGGGTGTTTAACATTGCTAATGAGCTGCTGCATACGGAGAAGGCTTACGTGTCCAGACTGCACCTCCTGGACCAGGTGTTCTGTGCCCAGCTGATGGAGGAGGCCCGAGCTCGCAGCTCCTTCCCCTGTGAGGTGGTCATGGGCATCTTCTCCAACATCTGCTCCATCTACTGCTTCCACCAGCAGTTCCTGCTGCCCGCACTGGAGAAACGCATGGAGGAATGGTGAGAAAGACAGAAAGAAAGAAAGAAAGAAAGAAAGAAAGAAAGGGACTGTGGGAGTGATTTTATTATGGTAAAATGGTAATGTTACTAATGTTCTATTTTTTCGCTCTGAATCTTCTCTTTTATCTTTCTCTGTACAGCACTTTGGTTCCACTTGTGGTGTTGAAAGTGCTTTATAAATAAAGTAGAGTTGATAGTTGAGTTGAGTACTAATCTTGCTGTCAAGTCAAATTTATGTATATAGCACTTTTCACAATGCACATTGTTTCAAAGCAGCTTTACAGAAAATCATGATGTTAATGTTTATATCTCAATATCTTTATGCCTTATAGTCGCCTTTAGCAGATTAGAGTTGGGATAATAGACTTTTGTGATGATACAAGCAATCAAGCAGTTGAGATATACTATATCAGGGCTGTCCAAACTCGGTCCTGGAGGGCCGGTGTCCTGCAGAGTTTAGCTCCAACTTGCCTCAACACACCTGCTGGGAAGTTTCTATGCCTAGTAAGAGCTTGATTAGCTGGTTCAGGTGTGTTTAATTAGGGTTGGAGCTAAACTCTGCAGGACACCGGCCCTCCAGGACTGAGTTTGGACAGCCCTGTATTATATATTGTGTAGTAGTAGTAAAAAATGATTCTTACACAGTATTTTGGTCTTGTTTTCCAGTACAAATATCTAAACATTTGTAAATCAAAATACATTTACTTGAAAAGCAAAATCATTTAAGATATTAAGTCTTGTTTTCTGAACGATATCTGCCAGTGGGTTAAGAAAAATAAACTTCATTCAAAGGGAAACAAGATTATTTTTCCTACCCCTCTGGCAGACATTTTTTTATTTTTTAAGCAAAAGCTCACTTAATTTTGATACATTTTTCAGAAAACAAGACTCCAGTGGTGTCCCGCAAAGGAAATTATGTTTCTCAAGTAAATGTATTTTTGTACTGGAAAACAAGACAAAAATACTGAGTAAGAAAACAATCAGCAGTGTATATTGTACATATGTGGATAAACTTGGACATATTTATATATTCAACTTTATATAAAGAGCTATTACATAAAAATATGTTAATGTTGATTATTAATAACCCCATTGAAAAATATTTGATTAGTCTAATTATAGGATGTTATTTTAAATAGCAGAGTTGGCACATAACAGAGAATTATAGAGTAGTAAATTGAAGTGTTGTTAAAGGCTTTGACTATTTAACAATGTTTTTGTTTTTTTACAGTGGCTCATGCAATCAGATCTTAGAGCTTTACATCAGTTTTCTTCTGGACATAACTAGAAAAGTTTAGATGGATTTTGAATTCAGAGGACAAACGGATGTTTCGAAGTATCCAAGCAACATATGTGTTTCCACAAACTAAACTTTGTTTCCAAATAGTCCAGTTTTGGAAAGGGAAGGGTGACCTTCACAAATGATGAACGAACCTTGACTTCCGCCCCTCTCCCCTCAGGGATCTGAACCCCCGCATCGGGGACATCCTGCAGAAACTGGCGCCTTTCCTGAAGATGTACGGCGAGTACGTGAAAAATTTTGACCGGGCCATGGAGCTGGTGAACACCTGGATGCAGCGCTCCTCTCAGTTCAAAGCCATCATTCACAACATCCAGGTACCAGACTGGGATCCAAACACTTTGTGCTAAACTAACGATGCTCTGTAATAAGAAAAAATGTTTGTATCATGCATAAATGTTTTGTGATGATATAAGCAATCAGTTGATATATGCAGTACAGTATCTAGTAGTAAAAAAAATGATTCTTACTTAGTATTTTTGTCTCATTTTCCAGTACAAATATCTAAACATTCTGAAATCAACATACTGTACATTTAATTGAGAAGAAAAATCACTTAAGATGTTATATCTTGGTTTTGGAAAAATGTATAAAAATAAATGAGCTTATGCTTAAAACAAGAAAATATCTGTTAGTGGGGTCAGAGAAAACTTAACTAAAACTTAATTCAAAGGGAAAACAAGATTATTTTTTCCTACCTCACTGACCGATATATTTTCTTGCTTTTAAGCAAAACTCACTTAATTTGATTATTTTTTTCAGAAAACAAGTCTAAAAATCAGATGTGACACAAATGTTTGTATCATACATAAATATTGGATGATATACATTGCTACTGTTCAGAGGTTTATGGTATAATGGTATTATATATTATGGTATTATAATAATGGTGACCTTAAGTCTTGCATATATTTATATATGCACAAAACATACACTGCCATTCAGAAGTTTTTTTTTAAAGAAATTATAACTTTAATTGGGATGCATTAAATTGATCAAAAGTAACAGTAAAGATGTTTATAATCTAAAAAAGATTTCAAATAAATGCTGTTCTTTTAAAGTAAAGTATCACAGTTTCCACAAAAACAGCCACAAAAACAACATTGATAATAATCAGAAATGTTTCTTGAGCAGCAAATCAGCATATTAGAATGATTTCTGAAGGATCATGTGACACTGAAGACTGGAGTAATGATGCTGAAAATTCAGTTTTGATCACAGGAATAAATTACATTTTACAATACAGTCAAATAGATTATTCAAATTTCACAATATTCCTATTTCTACTGTATTTTTGATCAAATAAATGCAGCCTTGGGGAATATAAGAGACAAACTTTGAGTGATAATGTATATTTAAAATCATTTCTCTCGGCTGCATCCACTATTTTATATTTTAAAAAATTACTAAACTCACTGTAGTGCATTCTGGTATTTCTTTATCTGGGAAGGATGCAAACGATGCTGCATTTGATTTAAGGCTAAAATAAGGTATCTTAACATGGGCTTTTTGTAATTAACTTTGAGTCGGTAGAGTATCTTAAATACTACTAGTAAGCTGGCAGGTCAGTAGAGTTTAAAACAGAGCGCTGAAGACATTTCAAGTGTAGAAGTGTGAAACGACAGTAGGAGTTACAATAAAATTTATATTAATGATAATGTCAAGGCATAAATCGTTTTCTATTAACATAAAGTGGAAGTCAGATATTTCTCCTCTATGCCCCACCTTTCTGAAACGCGTCGATTTTTACAAAGCTCATCGGTCTGGGGGGCATGTTAGAACGTTTTAGGTAGGAGTGGTTGACTCTTAACTTTTATAAAGAATATCTCTTTGGATTTGAGACTTTAGTCTTTGCAACTTTACAGGTCTTCTTTATGCACCAAGAGCTTGTAACACTCCAAAGAGAAAGAAAAAATTGAAATCGCATCATATGACCCCTTTAATTGCACAGAACCCTGCATAATTCACACCCGTGGACTGAATGAACGGAGCGTGTGTTAGTCATACAGTAATCTCTTTCACCAGGTGCACTCCACCAAATTCACCTTCACAGTCTGAGACTGGAGCGTTCATGTTAAAAATAGAGTGCGTCAGATGAAAGAGAGAGTCGCTGTGGGTGCGGGACTGTTTTTGGGGAGTTGTAGGTTATGGTGAATACTAATCAGGCCTGGTGCTGCACTCATCTCTGGTTGCCACTGTGTGAAGAATATTAAGAGAGCACAATGCCCAACGCCTGGGATCACAGCACTGCTGGAAGGAGATCAGGCATGTCACGCACGGGTTACACTACCAATGAATCATCTTGATTGTGCTCGGCCGTGTTTTGGGAGTTTGCCTTATTGTTAAAGACAACATAAAACAGCATTCATTCAACACATTTAACTTTTGCAACATGATGTATTTCAGAGTGAAACTAAATATTCAGTGGGAAATAAAGTAGGCAGAGACTTGATTTCTTCCAGCAGGATTTGAATGCATTTTGAAAAGTAAAATATTTAAAACTATTGCTCAGGTATTTGAGCAAACCTATAAGTTTAAGTATTAAACCATATTAAAGTTTGGAAAAACCATATCTAGGGAGCAAAGTATAGAGACTTGAGGATGTATTTTAATAATATACTTTATTAAAATATATATTATATATTCAAAAGTTTACATATGCTTGATTCTTAATACTGTGTTTTGTTTTGTGATAGTTGTTCATGAGTCCCATGTTTGTCCTGAACAGTTAAACTTCCCGCTGTTCTTCAGAAAAAAAAATATATATATATATATTTATATAGTATGAAACTTAACGTATAATATATAATGTATTTTAATATATATTTAGATGAATTGTGCACAATAGGTCTGTAAGTAAATGGACTCAGTCTTCATGTTGTCTTTAAGGTGTCTGTCTTTGCAGATATTCTTGATTGGTTTGTGGGAATGGATCGGTGCATGGTTTCTTTTTGCTCATCGTGTGATTTTGGGTGTGTTTTGCAGAAAGAGGAGATGTGTGGGAATCTTACCCTACAGCACCACATGTTGGAGCCTGTGCAGAGGATCCCTCGTTACGAGCTCCTGCTCAAAGACTATCTGCACCGCCTGCCAGAGGACGCGGACGACTTCAAAGATGCTCAGAGTGAGTGCAGAAAGGCAGAACGCTCAAATGGGCCTTTTCTCCTCCACTGATAGCAGCGGCCCATTTTCTGTTTCATTTCAGCTATTGGTGCATGTGCCTGGAAATATTGCAGTGAAAAGATTCATGCAAGGTTAACAGCCCAAGATAAAAAATGACACCTTGTGAATATCAAGTCCTTTATTCTCTACAGAATCTCTGGAGCTGATCGCCACAGCGGCAGAACATTCAAACGCTGCCATCAGGAAAATGGTGAGTGCAGTTTCAGATGAACCACACACACTCCGTCTGGGGTGAAAAGCAACACTGCCACTTAACATCCCTTTGTAATTAAGCTTGGTTGCCTCTTTAATGTGAGGTCTGTTTTGAAAGTCTCTCATTTGAATCTGTTAATTGCTTGTGTTTTTATTTTCTACATTTTGAGACACGAGACACCTCCCTCCAAGTAGACCTGAGCTAAAACAGACAACGTCAAATCTAACATTTTTATCATCACTGAAAACAAGGTCGTAACCATGTCATAACAAAGTCTAATTCTAGTTGTGAACGAATCAATTGGAATTATTTGCAAATAATATTTTATTGTAAAATATGCATACATTCACTCTTATTCGTATGCTTAATATTTCAAAAGCACACAACATTTCTTGGCTTGTCACATTCAGTTATGAATTACATAAATCATGTACTATAAATTATAGCATATTTTCAATTCAAAACAACACAATTTCAGAAAGCAATTCGAGTAGTTTTGCATCACTGGATATATATAATATTGTATAATATTTATTTATTATAATACTTTAATAATATATACTTATTTTTTTTAGGATATTTTTAATTGTTTTTATATTACTAACATTTTTTTTAATAAACAGCATGCACAGAGTAGTCCTTTTTTATTTTTATATTACAAAAGTATTTATTAAAATATTACAAAAAAATAGATAGATAGATAGATAGATAGATAGATAGAATTATTAATTATTATTACTATAATACTATAATATTACTAAAATATATGTATATGTTAGGGATGCATGATATTATCGGACCGATTATACCGATTAATCGACCGATAATGGCTTTAAATGTACATATCGGCATAGGCCCGATATGAAAAAAATATGCCGATGTGTCTTGCCGATAAGAGGAATACATTAACTCACATGTGCTCAGGGTGTGCTAGCGATTAGATCACATCAGAAGTGTGACTCATTCTGGAAGCAAAGTTTTGCCTGAATGGCAATTAGATTCACTGCTTTGGATCGCTGCACTTACAGAATGACGCATTCGGTGTGTGAGTAAACAGTAATAGCACGTGCAGCGGCAGCTTCCCCCGGGTCCTAACGCCGTTCGGTAAGGAGTTTTAATTCCGTAGGGGGCGCTGTTGGCCTACTTTTAATAAAATGAAAGTAAAATACACAAATAACATTTAGACTGTGTTTCTGATTAATTAAAGCAGTAATTGATGTCATAAAATCATGAGTATGTTTTGATTTAAAGGTCAGAAGCTATCGCTTTCATGAATAAAAAAAAAACACACATGACACTTGTAAATTAAATTAATTTTATATATACTGATTTATTCATTAATGTGTTATATGTTATTTTTTTAAACAAATGATGAGCTCTAAAAGATTTTCTGAATTTTTACAACTCGTTTGATTTAGACCATCTACAAATGTTAAATCTTAAAATAAAATGTTAAGGCTACTACTGCATCTTTCTGAAAAAAAATGCAGCGATTGATATACAGTTTATTTGTAGTTATTTTCAAAGCTTCAGTGTACTGTCATTATAAAAGAACTTCATTATTGTTTATTTAATTCTAACAAATAAGTTCTTGTTAAGAACTTAAAAAATAAGTTCTTGTTAAAAATTGTTTTTTTTAAATAATTTGCTACACTTGGTGTTGCTTCCAAACAAAAGGAAATATATCGATATCGGCATTGGTTATCGGCCGAGTTAAAAAATATCGGCAAAATCCAGTGTCGTGCATCCCTAGTATATGAATATCACAAATAGCAAATATTGGTGGGGAAATTTGGCCATTTCTTTGGCCATTACTTGAATGACATGACAGATGTTTCTACAAACGTGTGAATGTTTTGTCCCTCAGGAGCGCATGAGAAAGCTGCTGAAAGTGTACGAGTTGCTCGGTGGAGAAGAGGACATTGTTAACCCGACTAATGAGCTCATTAAAGAGGGACATATTCTGAAACTGTCAGCTAAAAACGGGACATCACAGGATAGATACCTCATTCTGGTGAGTCAAAGACAAACATTAATGACATAAATCATACCTCAAAGTGCTTTTTTCTTAGTAAAAATGTTGATAAATCATGCATGTTTAACTTTGTTCGTCTCTCTCTGAAGTTCAATGACAGGTTGTTGTACTGCGTCCCCAAACTGAGGCTGATAGGACAGAAGTTTGGAGTGCGAGCACGGATTGACGTTGACGGCATGGAGGTTCGACGTGTTTTTATCTTGTTTACAGCATAATACTCAAAATAAATCTGCTGTTATCAAATGGCTGATTTACTCTGCATTGCTTCACAGCTTAAGGAGACCAGCAGCATGAACGTACCACGAACATTTCTGGTTTCGGGAAAACAGCGTTCACTAGAACTGCAAGCAAGGTACGGCTGAGGGAATGTGCTTCTGCTTTAAAAATCAGGTCTGGGGTTCATTGACAACCACAGAAATGTTGTCTGAGCTTTTGGGCATTAGGAGAAAATACCCAAGATAAGCATATCAGCCATTGGAAAACAAGATAAATATGTGCTGCTTTTGGCATTTTTCAAATGTTTGCCGTTTTTTTTTTTTCACCAGGACGGAAGAGGAGAAGAGAGATTGGATTCAGGTAAGCTTTTCTTCATCATATCAGGTTCTCATATCTCTCGACTATAACACTCCTGCTTACATTATTCTCATTTTTTGTTCACTGTCTCACAGGCGATCCAGGCCACTATGCAGAGACATGAACAGACGCTGGAGACCTTCCGCATGCTCAACTGCTCGTTTCGGGAGGAGGACTTCACTCCTCCAAACTCTCCGGTTAGTTTTTATCTTATCACCCCACAGCGTTGTTAACTAAAGCTACAAGTAAAATTATTTAAAATCATTTTTGTTAATTAAAATATAGCTGAAATGAAACATAAATATTAGAAATGTATTTTTATATTTATATTAGAATTTTTTACTTAAAAATCTTCAAATAGAAATGTTGCATTGGCAACCAAGTGAAATAACTAATTTTAGGTTGAAAACGATTTTTACAAAGCTCATCGGTCTGAAAAGCGAGGTGTGCTCTGATTGGCCAGCTATCCAATGCGTTGTGATTGGCCGAATACCTCAAGCGTGTGACGGAAATGTTACGCCCCTTAACATACTGTACATATTTGTTGCATCCAGTGGGGACATAATTATGGATTATAATGACTTATACTGTCTTTTTACGCGTTGCGTTGCATCGCGGCAGCAACAATACTACAGCGAGAATCAAAGTTGTGCCTTCTTTTTTTTGCGTTAACATTTGGGCGGTGTTATGCAAATCTTCCCACACAGTGACGTAGACATGTGGGGGCGTGATTAAACGAGGCGTTTTAGGAGGGCGTGGACCAGTCTTAACTTTTATAAAGAATATCTCTTTGGGTTTGAGACTTTAGTCTGTGCAACTTTAGGGATCTTATCTATTCACGAACAGCTTGCAACACTCCAAAGAGAAAGGAAAACTTGAAATCGCATCATATGACCCCTTTAATGATGACTTGCTCTAATGCAATGACATTTTAACCCATGTTGAAATGACCGCTCTTTGTTTTCAGAATTGCACAGAGCTTGGAAAGCGAGCGCCCACTCCAATCCGGGAGAAAGAGGTTACACTGTGCATGAAGTGTCAGGAGCCTTTCAACTCTATTACCAAAAGACGGCATCACTGCAAAGCCTGTGGACATGTATGTTATTTGATGTAACTGTTATTTGACTCAACATGCTCCCGATGGGCTGACGTGGGGCTTCTTGATTTCAGGTGGTGTGTGGAAAGTGTTCGGAGTTCCGTGCCCGTCTGTTGTACGATAATAACCGAGCCAACCGCGTGTGTATAGACTGCTACACCACGCTAGTGGGAGTGCCGCCCTCTCCGGCCAGTCTGAGCAACAGCACACAGAGACGCCGCTCCATTCTAGAGGTTTGATGGCAGATTTAAACTCTTGACATCTGGCAACCCAAAGCATGAAAGCTAGTGGTGGTCTATATTTTTTTCTCCTCTTTTTTTCTACAGAAACAGGCCTCAGTGGCAGCTGAGAACAGTGTGTTGTGTAGTTTCCTGCATCATATGGAGAAGGGAAGTGGACGTGGATGGCAGAAGGCCTGGTTTGTCATCCCTGACAGTGAACCACTGGTGCTGTATATCTATGGTGCTCCGCAGGTAAGACGATCAAACGGGGCTGCATCAACTAATCCACAGGTTTATACACCACTCTTATGAAAGGGTGTTTGTTATTGTAAAACATTAATGTGATGTCTTATTTTTTTCTGTATTTTTGATAAGAATTTGAACCATCATGACTTTATGTACACCTGGTATTATCATCTTTTTGGGGATTCAGGCTTGCTTGATCTGTCCTGGACAAATTTCACTCAACCATTCTGTTAAAACAAAGGTTTCAAACTTTGCCCATTCCATGTGGCTTTATAAGAAATGATGCAAGATTAAAGAATTTGCAAAAGCTCAAATATATTCACAACCGTTCAAAAGTTTGGGGTCAGTGGGATTTTTTTTTTTTTCAAATTAATTTTTTTTGTTCAGCAAGTACATATAAAATTGTTTAAAAGTGATAGTAAAGACATTTATAATGTTACTAAAGATTTGTTAGAGACTGAAGACTGGAGTAATGATGCTGAAAATTCAGCTTTGCATCACAGGAATAAATTACATTTTTAAATATATTAAAATAGAAAACAGTTATTTTAAATTGTAATAATATTTCACAATATTGCCATTTTTACTGTGTTTTTAATCTAATAAATGCAGCCTTGGTGAGTAGAAGAGACTTCTTTCATAAACACTGAAAATCTTACCAACCCCAAACCTTTGAACAGTAGTGCATATGCTTGTTTGACGTCAACATGACATTTGGTCACACATGGTTACAGGAGATGCATTTGACATGCATGTTACTGCCAGAATCATGTGATCAGACAGATGTTAACACTAGGTGTAAACAAGGCCTTAGTGTTCATTCCATGACTAATGCGGTTCACAGTGGTCAGTTAATGGTTGACCAGTGAAGTCAACCTTTCTCTCTCCATACGCACAGGATGTCAAAGCCCAGCGCAGTATTCCCCTCATCGGGTTCGAGGTGTCTCTACCCGAATCAAGTGACCGTCTAGAACGTCGCAACGCCTTCAAAATGAGCCAGAGTCATTTGACCGTTTACTTCAGTGCCGACTGTGAGGAACTGCAGCGACGTTGGATGGAGGTCTTATCGAGAGCCGGCAGGGGTGAGGAGCTGCAGTCAAACGGGCCGATATCCGAGGCCCTCGAGGAAGAAGGGGAGGAGCCAGTACCTACGGAAGAAAGCACATGATTGGCTGAAAATATATCATTTTGCACACACAAACTGTACAAATGTGACCACAGCGACAGGATATAATAGACAAAAACACACACACACACACACACACACATACCTTCTCTCTTACACACATCTGTATTAATTGTCAGTTGTAAATTGCATGAAATATCTACAGGTATGTTTCTCTGTGTATTGCTCATCTTGTGTGAGTGACCAGTGTTTGGAACAATCTGACAAAAGTGTGCACACTTCAAAGACGACTTATCAGGGGACACATGAGCTCTTTCGGCTGCTAGCAGTTTCTTTGTTAAATTGACTGTTTCTGCCAAATCTCGAGGTGTTGTGAAGTGGTTTCTCGAGCAAGGCTATGGTTTAGCAAAGTGAGATGGTTCTACGGTTTGCTGGCTGTGCGTGAATGTTTGGCCTGGTTTCATGAAATGTTTAGGTGACTTAGAGTCTACAGTAAAATACCCTCGTTTACATAACCAGAAGCTGGAAGGAATTACTGATTTTGTTGATTTTAAATCAGCAAAAGTCAGTAGACTATGAATCCTGCCAATATTAATGGCAATAATCCGCTTGGTAAGAGGATCAAATCCTGGATTTCTCATTTCGATTACATGTTAAACATTGGCTATTGCATTAGTAGTGAATTGTGACAGGACTGGCCACATGAACTGTTGTTCAGTTATGCAAGCTTCTGTACATGTGTGGTAATCAGAAACTGCTGGAACATAGCAGGAATATTTATTAAGCGTGTTTTAACCACTCACAATGATAGAAATATGTGCTTCCTGTTGACTCTAAGGTCCTTCAACTCAGAAAACACCAACAAATTTACTCTGCCACCTAGTGGACGCATATCATAGCGCACACATTCTAGGAGTGAATGTCAGGGAACATGTCAAGAAACAAAATTGGAAACTTTATTTTGCATATAAAGTAAATGAATCTTGTTTTAATGACTATTAAGATTTTTGTTTCACTGTGACATGGTTTATTAGTAAAAATCTCATTACTGTAAGGTGAAATAAATTTTATATTATTTAAATTACAAAATATTTATAAAGTGTTGTATTATATGATGTACTGTCTTTAATTTATGCCGATTTAAATAAAAAACATGTTGCAGTAATGAGAATCTGATAAGAACTATTGAGAAAAACAAAACATCTTAATTGTATTTAGTATGTCACAATGTAAAAAAAAAATAAAACCTTAATGGTGCTTTGGGGGTGAAATGTGTTGAAGCAATAAAAAATAAGGTAATTGTGACTTCTTAGCTCACAATTCAGACTTTTTTTTTTTTGCAATTATTAGTTTATATCTCACAATTCTGATTTTAACTCATAATTGCAAGATGTAAATTCAGAATTCTTTCTGAGAAAAAGGCAGAATTGTGAGATATAGACTCGTAATTGCAAGAAAAAAGTCAGATTTGTGAGACAAAAAGTCGCACATACCTTTTTTTTTGTGGACAAAAAAAAACAGAATTGCAAGATGTAAACTCAGAATTTAGAGAAAAAAGTCAGAATTGCGAGATATTAATTCAGATTTTTTTTCTCATAATTGTAAAAAACAAACCGAATTGTGAAATATAAACTCAGAATTGTGAGGAAAAAGAAATCAGAATTATGAAATAAAAGATTTGCCATTACATTTTTAATATTTTTTATTCTGTGGCAGAATCAGGCTTTCATAGAATGTGACCAGGACATGTTTTTGTGAGATTCACACCTAAGACTGTCCCTTTTGTTAAAACTGTAAGGAAAAACAATTCAGAGGAGGAAAATGTGTGTAATAGGTTTCAATCAAAGGAATTGACAGGGCTGTCCCTACAGGATAAAATAGATTTTATCCTGTTTTTTGAGTGAGCATGAGTGATTTTATGAATGCAGGGGTGTTGTGGCATTTGATAAGAATGCAGATAATATGAGGATTTTAGGTTATGAGGGTGTGTTTGAATCGGGCTAGTTTATATCATTGTAAGCTCAATGATATCCCTGCTTATTTAGAGGGTTTTTGATAAATATAGTATATATAAATAAAAAAAGGTAAAAGTTTTGATGAGGATATCAAACGTTTTCACCCGTGTTGTATTTGTGTATGAAAAGTGCAAAAGATTAAAGAACAGATTAATTTGTAAATATAACTTATTCCTCTGAGCCCAGTTTTGTGGGTTAGGTATTGTCGATGAGCTTTGGTGTTTGATCTTTGTTATGTGCAGTTTTAAATGGACTTCTGAGCATTGTGGTAAATTCCAGGTCAAGAAAAGCTTATGATAGGTTCTCTCGTTTTACCACTTTTTCCAGAGGTTGATATTCAGTGTTTTAGAAAGAGCTTCTGAGCCTCTTTTGAATGCCAATGTGAACGCCTGGTGACTCACTGAGAACTGCTTGAACTTTTTTTGTGTTTGATATTGCTTTAATCTTGCTCTTTGTTGTCAAAGACATCGCTGGAGTAAGTAGAGGTGAATCAGTCGGTGTGTTTCCAGCCTGTCTGCGGTTTCCTTCCTCAAGAGGTTTTTGGACTGTTGATGGCAGTGCATGGCTTTGGGACAGGGCTGCGTGTGTTCAGTTCATTATGTTTATGACTTGTACTGGTCATTCCCAGATCCTCAGTTGAGCCTGCCCGTCACTCATGCTTACACACACATTCATCTTCCTGCTTCTCTCAGTATTATTGTTCTTGATATCCTGCCTTACTGATATTTTGCAACCTTGTGCTTATCTACACATTGTTTTTTGCCAAAGTATACTGCAGAAAATGTGTGTTAGAAATTGAAGTGGTTGTCACATATTTTGTTTCTTTACCTTTCTTTTTTTGTTTAATGCTAATATTTATTTATTTTATTTTTTTACTCCTTGAGGTACTTGTAGTAAACTTTGCAATGAACCAAAAGATTAACACTACCAAAATACAAAGGAAAAACGCTATTTGTTAACATTTGGGAGAATTTAAGTTATTGTTTCTGTGTGCTCGAAGTATGTTTTAGTCCCACCATAATTGGAAGTCAATGCATGAAATTTGATTTTTAATATTTTAGTTTCTATTCTTCATCGCTTAGTCCACAAAATATTTCTCTGAAATCTCACAAAAACTACATTATTCAAAGAAGATGCAGATGAAATACACTGTAGTTAATTTTAGCAAGGATATCTGAACAATCGTGCATTTTTAAGCAAAACTATCTGAGCAATCTGCCATTAAGTGTCATATACAGAAACAGAGGTGCTATTTTATTGTTTGATTAAGGGAACAGCTTTGTGTTTATAAATATATGATATAATGGATCAGGAATTCAGTTTTCCTGCATACTTACATGAACAGGCTATAAAATGAGAGTTTCTAGTCTTTAATATGGAGGAAGAACACAATGGTACTTTAAGGATTATTCTGTGTGGCAAGAATCATTTGGGAGAAACCATTACATCTCTGTGGTGCAGAACAGAGAATTAAATTACATTGTATATATTGTATATGCTCAGATCTGCATACCAATGATGATGATGATGTAATCTGTTCCTACACCTGGATTTTTGACTTGAGTGTTCTAATCTTGTTCATTTTTATAACCTAGTTCTATTGCACCAAACCATTTTGCCATGAGGATGATTACTTTGTTACGCACCAAACTTTTAAACCCTGTTTATTGTAAACCAGGGTTTGGTCAAGCGGTTTTTTATATGGAATCTAAAGAGAGAAATGTTGAGGCATGGACAGCTGTTGTGCTCATATATGTTAATGATTACCTTTCTAGAGATGATCTACCATTCCTTCTCCTCTGCTCTCTGGCATCATCACAGCATGCTAAACCTGAGGTAGTGGAATGAGCGCCTCCTGACCGGTTTCTGTCATTTTTTGCAGACTCTTCATGTGACGTACGTCTGCAACAAATCAACAGAGGGGGATTTGTAAAACATTGCCAGATAGCCCTATCTTCTCAAGGACAGTTCACATGTGTTGTTGTGCTCAGAAACACTCTCTCAGACAACCAAGAAATGGCTGCATTACGAGCTTTGATTTGTTTGTTTTTTCAAGCCTATTAGCCGAACCATCACACTATATGGCACAAGTATACATGCTATTGTTTTCCCTCATGAAACCTGGTTTATTGTACACATAATGGGTATTACTGTTATTTCAAGTACTATTATAATTGCATCAACATCTTGCATTCACTGCAGTGCTGATAGTTAGGTTTTATGGTGTAGATTCAGAATCAGACTGTTCCTTTGGTGTCGCATTTTTTAGGGTTACGCATTTTATTTTTGTGTATAACTTGACTGTACTCAAAGGAATGCATGCAATTATTCATAGGTTATTTCACATTCAAATTATTGAAATATTAGGATTATTATGCACAGTAACCAAAAGCAGATGTTGGACATTGCAAATATTGTTTTTGTGCAAAACGCAAGTCTCTAAATAGTGTGTGCAGGAGGAAGAAGCCATTGGCACATGACAGTCTTTTTATGCGTGAGAATTCAAATGCACTCTTGACTCCGTTGCACTTTCAAACCATAATGGGGACAAAAGTGCTGTACATAAAAGTTGCAAAAGTAATCACATACATGAAGCCAAAAATACAATACATTATTGAAAGCTAAAGAAAATTAGTTAGTTTTTTTTTAGGCTCCCTGAAATGCCCTAATGTGGGAATTTTCAGAATATCAAAAGAACTATCTCCTTAAATTCACTAAACCAACCATCAAAGCCATTTTACCGGCTTCAAACTTTAAAACTAACCTCTCTCCCTTCCACCCTGCCAAGAAAATTCCTCTGGAATGCCTGTCTGTGTTACTCCAACCCACAAGTGCCGTTAAACCGGAGGCTTTGTTTTACCGTTTCAGTCCTGAGCCTCAGATTTCACGGGTTATGACTCAGCAAATCTACCCACCCATTTTCCCTGTTTCTTTTTACCTATATCCCTGTTTTTGCTCTCCTTCCTCTGAAGTTCTTGCTTGCATTGACTGAATGCTTGCTGAGCACACACTATTTTGCTCCTTTTGTACCCTAAAAGCATGTGTTTTTCATTTGCTATCCTCAGAAAAAAGACATGAAGTCGGATTTTTCTCTCTATAGCCCAATTATCATAAAAGTTTACCTTTTTATGTTTTACATAGCCCTTGTTGCATAATGTGCTTTCAGAGTTCAAGAATCTTTGTCACATTATCACACTGGTGGTAGTTGTGTTCAGTACAGTAAGAGTTAAGTAAAGTATTACAACAAGAGATTATATTAGTAATGATACAATAAATACCGTAGATTAAAAGTTTTTGAAAGTGTAGTCTGTTTCTCCATTTACAGTTAGCAATTATATAAAACTGAGTGAAATAGATTGAAAATACATACATCCATTCTTATCTACAATATTATAATATTGCAAAAGCTTGTATTGTATTGTAAGGGTAAGCCAAATAAATATATGAAATGAATAAAAAATAGAGAAGAATAGAAAGGAAATCAATTTATGTTATGTAAAGAATTGATGGAGTGACTCCCTCTGGCGGTGACTACTGATATTGGGCTTTTCCATTTCTCTATTTTTAGTAAAGCTGTGATTTTGTTAGGGGCAGCCCACAGCAGACACACTTGGAAAACACAGATTATTTAAGTTTAGGGAAGGTTTTCTTGTATTTGAACCAATTTCGTTGAAATTGTGGTATTGCGGTAGAGAGGCCGGGTTGCGAATACATGCCGTACTACGCTGAAGGCTTGGCTCATGAATATTAATTAGTCATCCCTAGACAGCCAAGCTGGTTGGTTCAAAGACAGGCGTGGGCGCTAGTCAACTGGCCAATTAACGAATAGCAAGGGTTCGGGCAATGAATATTAATGTAGTATTCTGACTGACAGCTCCAGGAAGGTTACCAGGCAACGTCTAAATGAGGCTTTTAATATACATGAGCTAAGCCTTCATTGTAGTAGGATTCGTAATTTCACCGGAGGATAGAGGAGCTTCGCGTGCGCGGAGTGGCACAAACATGGCCACCTAGTGAAACCAAAACACTAGCGAAACGGCGTTGCCCTGCGCGTAAAATCTCGCCCGTAGATCGTGCAAATCAGCGTGACAGCGTCGTATCAGTCCTGGATTCGGATGCAGACCATGAGATGAAGGGGTTTACAAACCGGATTTACCGGAATGCTTTTGTTTGATAACGTTTGATCTGATTACATCACTTGGATTATTCCACTATCCAGAAGAGGCTTTAGGTATGTGATCTAGAAATGCATTTAGAGCTCTCTGTGGATGCAGTTCCATACTTTATGCTCAGAGGGGATGGTGTTGTAGATGTTTTTGTCACCTTTCTGTTATAGTAGCATATTGGTAAGACTGGATATGTCTCAAACCCTTGTGATCTGCCTACATAGACATCACTTTTTGGGATCAGTGCCAAAAATTTTGCATAGACGAGAAGCTGACTAGTTTTGGGGCATTTATGCTCTTTAAAGTTTTGATGGCCAAGAATGCTGGTCTATGTAGGCACACTAGATGCTGTGTAGGTAGGTTTATGAGCAAGTGTACACAAGTCTATTAGGGAACACTTTATACATATATACATATTTATTTGTGTGCGCATTTGTTTGTGTATACACACACACACACACTATATATATATATATATATATATATATACACGCACGCACACACACACATGAATTTAAGATTTGCATATTTTAAGTGTATGATGATATGATACCATCAAAACTTTGGTTTGGTTTGCACATAGATTGTGCTGTATTCTGTGTAATTTATATGTGCATGGTTTTTCCCGCCATCAAAGCCTGTGATGTATTAAACAGTACTGGGAATGAGGAACTGTGGTTAGTCACTGGCAGACTTTATTAATTCCAGGATTTTACTTTACACCCCTCCTGTTCACCGTCTCTGCATCAACATGTCAGATTCTAGGAGATGTTTGTGGACTGACAGTAATTGACGTAGCTGTTCTTCCTTTCTCAGTGTTGAACCCCTTCTTCCTGAGTCTGGGATCGTGGCAGATATTGAGGTAGAAGGTGTTTTCTCCACCGATTCGGACACTTTCTATGAGCTGAAGAGTCAACCCATCACCCTGAGGTGAGTCCGGTAATGGCGATTATATAAGCACACTTCCTGCTTTTTTTCTGTACTCTCACCTACACATAGATTGTGGCCGCATACCAGTTATGCTTATGAGAGAACCGCAATCGTATCTGATTTACTTCCTGCATACTCTGTGTTAGATGCCTAGAAGTTTTTGATCATATTTTGCTGCATACCTGTGATATATTGATTTGGTGTACGTACGGTATAATCAGCTTTACTCCGTGGGAGTTTTCCGGCAGTTACTGTAGTTCTAAATTGTTAAGATCTTTTACATTCTTCTTGTTTTTTGTATTTGTTACATTGCTCATTTTATTTGAAATTAAACACTTTTTTTGTGCCCATTTGTGTGAGTGCTTCATGTTTTTTCTACGATGAGGCTGATCAGGGCATGTTGTCCTGAAGGTGTTTAGACGGGGCGTTGGGTTTCTGTTGACAGAACTTCCCAGTGTCTGTTTCCAGTGACTTCTCAGTGATTCAGCACAAATCTAAACACCCTGATCTATCATAATACCTCTTTCCACTGCTCTTCTCAGGAAAAAAAAAATATTGATTATGGAGTAATATGTTTAGGATAGTGGTTTGAGTACTCTGAAGAGTTTGCAGAATTAGTGTTTCAAAGTTCACACGCTGCTGTCTCCCACAGTCTCTCAGCGTTATCTGACAGGATGATCTGCCTGACATAGTATTCTTTGGATTTGCTTTTTGCAAACAGTGTGTATGAGGCAACGTGGTTTTCCATTCACTCTGGGACTTCCCAGAATGACTCATCAGAAAAAAAACAAGTCCTGTGAAGGGAATGTGAAGGCCGTATTGTTGGAAATGCAAGACTGTACAGAGAGATTTGAGTTATTTTGCTCTGTAGTTGTTATGTAAGTAGTGTTCATTGATAGCACAGCTTGATAATGTCACAAAGGACATACTCTGTTTGTATTATTCACATTCTTAAGTCTTTTAGGATAAAAGTGTATGCTAAATGAATAAAATGTTGATGGTTGTATATATTTTAAACACTGTTGTTAAAGTCACTGTGAACAGGCTTGCTGCAACCAATTTTTTGTTTCCATAATAGGACATATTTTTCAAGTGAAAGTGAAAGTCAGTTAAAAAAATATGTGGGACAACTTTATTTTCCCTGTCAGTTGATTGGATTGTGAGACGTGGTCATTTGACATGATTGGACGAGATAATTGAAAAAGATGTGAGCAAAAATGGAAAATAGTTTCAGAGGTGATGTTTCTATATTGAAAAAAAAAATTGTATTTTTTTTTTGTTACGTTTTTTACATTTATTTATAGTTTGTTTTCAAAAGTTTTATTTATATTTTATTCATAAATTTTTTTTTATTTTATTTTTTTTTTATATTTAATTTATTTTGATGAAATATTATGAGAACAAACATTTTGTTTCTTTGGAATAACGTGCACTGATGAAAATTCTACCAGGAATATGTGTTAAGAAAGTAAATGCATCAGTTTTGATTTCATACTGACAACATAAAATAGCATTTGCACTGCATTTAACATCCACAATGTGATGTATTTCCAAGTGAAACACAACATTCTGCTGGAATAATGTAGAGCAGGATTTGATTATATTCATTAGGATATAAATGCATTGTAAAAAAACTAGGCAGTCATATTATTGGTTAACTATATTTTCCCGGTTTGCCTCAGGCAGAAAAGGTCATTACATTTTGATATTTTTTTCTTCGAAAGAGTATGCAAAACAAGACCTTATAAATAAGAAATGTACTATTTTTAATCAATAGTTTTTGGTTTTATGAGAAATTCAATTTTGGAGTTTGACATATGACAAATAAAATATCATGATATGTTGAATAAGAGATCATTATTTTTGACCGTCTTGTGTTTTAAGTTGCTGTTCTCACGCTGTCTCGGTGGTGAACTCTCAGCCCTGTGTTTCAGAAATAGCATGTGGTAATATGATTACAGCACGGGGTGTAGCGTGGTACTCTAAGCTGAATTACATTCTCATCGTCTGTCCTCGTAGTGGCTCTGTGACCCCTGCTGACCCCGTGACCCCAGCCGGCTCCGTGATGACGTCACGCGTGTTGATGAGGCAGGAGCTGATGCGACAGCAGGCTCAGGATCAGGAGAGACGAGAGGCCCAGAAACAGGCCTCCAGCGCTCAGCAGCGGCCCACTGACGCCACCCCTGCCATCTCTGTCGCATCCGCCCTGCCGGCCACACCGACCCAGGTGCCTGTGGAAGTGCTGAAGGTATGATCCTATGGAAAACCTATAAAAATGAATGTGAAATATGATGATTTGGGTGTTGAAATACTGTTTACAACATGAGTTGTCCTGTGTTTGAATCCCAGGTTCAAACTCACTTGGAAAACCCAACAAAGTACCACATCCAACAAGCTCAGAGGCAGCAAGTGAAGCAATACCTCTCTCACACCCTTGGCAATAAAATAGCCAATCAGACGCTGGCGATATCGCCCTTGCCCCAGCCCACCTCCGCCCCTGAGTTGGCCCCTGCCGCCAGTAGCACTCCCAGCAGCCCGCTGGCTGTGCTCAGCCTGGGATCAAACAAAGAAGAGGTATGAACTGAACCCAGATCAGATGTTTCGGTTTTAGCATTTATGTAGCCAAGAATGTGGTCAGCAAAAGTGATGGTTTTGAAGCAAAGCCCTTATGTCTTAAAAGTGATCAGGAATGTATTTTTTTTTTTACTTGTGTTCATCAAGCATGCATTAAATTGATCAAAATTGACAGTAAAGTCCTTTACAGTGTGACAAAAGATTTCCATTTCAATTAAATGCTGCTGACTTGAACTTTCTATTCATTAAAGAATGCTGAAAAAAACGTATTACAGTTTCCACAAAAATATAAATGAGCATGTTTTCAACACTGATAATAAAAATGTTTCTTGAGCAGCAAATCAGCAAATTAGAATGATTTCTGAAGGATCATGTGACACTGAAGACTGGACTAATGATGCTGAAAATTCAGCTTTGCATCATAGGAATAAATTACATTTTAAAATACATTTAAATAGAAACCAGTTATTTTCATTTGTAATAATATTTCACAATATTATTGTTTTTACTGTATTTTTAAATGTTCATTCAAAACATAAAAAAGTCTTACCAACCGATCTTACTGTTCAAACTTTTAAGCAGTAGTGTATATGAATAAAATCATACTTACCCCATTTACTTTCTATATAAATGTCCTCTTATCTGTATTTTTTATCAAACAAATAGAGCTTTGGTGAGCTTAAGACACTTCTTTGAAAAACATAAAAACCCCAAACATTTGAATGATAGTGTATCTTGTTTCAATCTCCAAATTATGTAATTTTAACAGTACTGCATCATGGCAATAAAGTTATAAAAATTTTAAAGATAAGAGTCCTTGAGCCAATGCCATAACAAAAGATGACCCATTTACACAAACAATGACGGCATAACATAATCTTCTGTGCTCTGACCTACTTTCACATAGGGCTGGCTCGATACCACTTTTTCAGAACCGATCCGATACCAGAAATTCTTAGTATCGGCCGATACCGATCCGATACCAGCGCAGTTTTTTTTTTTTTAAATCAGTGAAGAATTTCTATACCTCAATGTGTTGACCTGATCATCATTCTTTTGTGCGTAAAACACAATCTACCACATATAGACAACTTAATTGTAAAGAAAAACAACAAATGAATAAGTATATAATCATAATCTATGACAAAAATACTACTATAAACTAGGTTAAAGGATAATTCAGTAGCAAAAGTTACTCTAGAAAAATCACGAGTGCACAATCATTTTATAAAATCTAAACATTTAGTAAAAAAAACATTATTTAGTGGGGAACAAATAAAAGTGAATAAGTGTAGGGCTAAATCTGGTAAAATGTTAAACATTGCTCTTTGTATTGTTGTAAAATACATTCATGAAAAACAAGTAATATATTTATAATTCATATACTATCAAATTAAAAGACATTTCTTTTAAATGTATAGCACAGTAATGAGGCAGCAACACATGATAGATAAGACAACAACAAAGGCTATTAATAATCTTTCATTGCGCAAAAGTATTATAACATGAAAGGCTCCTATACAGAGCGGCAGAAAGTGCTTATGTGCATCCCGTGCGTAGAATGATGCGCTTGAAGCAACACTGAGTCACAGTGCTCCGCATAGAAAAGTTCAAAGCACAAAGGGAAGAGGATGTTGATGCGTAGTGTATTATATCTGTGTGATAGTTTACTGAGCCTTTTCTTTTTAACAGTTTAAAATTTCAGTTACTGTGCGCATAAAGAACAATTCATAGTGCTCTCTACTCCAGTGTAGTGATCTCTAATAGACACCCGGTAGAAAGTAACGTGCTTTAGAAACAGCACTAAACTCCAGCAAGATGCAAAACCACTGATCTTTATCTACAGATCAAGTATAATAATAGGAACATTGTATCATCTTAGAGAGAGTTCCACCATCTTGACTGTCGTAACTGAACGCGACACGCAGTTTGAACGCTGAATGGAGGAAGACTGACAGCCGCAGCGGAGAGAAGAGTTTACGTGAACTTGAATTTAACGACTTAAATATTCATCTGTGCCTCACATTAAACTATGAAACGGCTTCAGAACACTTGAAATATAGTGCACGAAAAGTTTATGGTGCTTTGTAATGTTTTTGTGCCTTTCCTGGGGCTTAATAATAACTCTGAGTTATTATTAAGCCCCAGGAAAGGCACAAAAACATTATAAAGCACCATAAACTTGCGCAGTATTAGTATAGTTACGCAGTATTGTAAAATACACAGAATATCGGATTTGGATCGGTCTCGTCTGACCGATACCTGATCCGGCAGAAAATGGCAGTATCAGAGCCGATACCGATACTGAGCATCAGGGAACGCTCAGCGGACCAGGAGCTAATGTATCATTTTCTTTTTTGGTCCGGACCAAACGAACCAAGAGAACCGAACTAAGTGTGAACGCACCCTTAGTTTCTTTACAAAAAAAAAGATTACTTGCCCATAACTATTGAACAGTAGTATATATGCTTTGGCCTACTTTCACATGCAAAATTACTAGATAACATTTACAATTCCTGCTCTAACTAATTACAATAGAGGTAGTCCTATAGATTTGAGGAATTTTTTCAACGTACAGAATCTCAGATCTGCCCCAGTAAGATAACAGCGGATTCTGTATATGATATATAACTTGTGTGAGAAGTCAAACTTTAGCATTGTGTTATCAAACAATGCTGCATTGGCAGGAAAATGTTTTATTCTCTAGCCAGCTTGTACTTTAGGCCACTTATTTTGCTAGACATAGTCTGTGAATTTCACATGCTTACAAAACCGTACTAACCAGTAATTATTGTCCTAATAATCTCAAGTCTTAAGCTATTTAGAGTATGCTAGACAACTAATTAAGTGTTTGGCTCTGAGACTCGAAAAGATCCTTTTGTAGAATGTGCCTCACGTTTGCTTAATACATACAATAGCGTGCTTTGTCAAGTCTGCGTGAAGTCAGCCAGACTCTTTTGGGCACTTTGCTTTTGGTACCACATTGTGCTGGTAAATATCACACTCGCGGCTCAGTGACCCCTGCACACTTCGCACTTTGTGTGGGCTTGGCTATTAAAGTCTTTCAGTCCTGTATTTCTCTTGTGTACATACTGAAGGACCCTTCTCAATCAAAAACACTGACTGGAAAACCCAACGATGAAATACAAGCTGGCTAAGGTTCGAGACTTTTATCAGACTTTGAATCGGATGTCTGTATTTCTCATGTCCATGTGGTTGGTGTGTCACTCTGGAAACCGCTGTGTAGTGTTATTTAAACATCCATCTGCCTCATGACTCATGGTGGAAATACACTGTAAAGTTTTTTTTTTTTTTTTTTTTGCCAAGAAATTTATACAAGCTGTTTTTTTCTCTGTGTTTTAAATGCACAGATCGAAGACGTCATCGATGACATCATCAGCCTGGAATCGAGTTTAAACGATGAATTTATGACATTGATCGACTCGGGTTTGCAGCTTCCCAACACGGTATGTAGCAACATCCTCAACTCTATTAAGGATCAGTTGAGCAACTCGAGTGCTTTTGTCATCTATTTCTTAAGAACTGATTAAGTAAAGTTTGTTGAACTTGTTTTGCACGACTCTTTGGAACAGCTTTTTTTGTTAATCACCGATGCTGATGACACAACAGCCATTTGTCATAATTTGCGGTAATTAATTGAAGCCCACAATTCTGCCTTAGTCTTTTGCAAGCAAAAGCGAATCCTGCTCTGACATGCCATTGCTTTGGAAATACAATTTCGGTTTTCAAATCAGTAATTTTCATTGAGTCTGGGAGGAGTTCAGGTAGAGGCGCTTGTGTAACCAGTTATGATTAAAGGTTAACTTAGATTCATATGCTTGCATATTGTCAGTGTAGTGTTTGCATTCGGGTCGTTTGGGTTGAATGGGGGCTTGAAACACTGGAAGCAAATATAAACTTCTGACACATGGCTCACAATGGGTGGGGTGAGCACGCCACGGAGGAGTGACAGAGAGTTGCCGCACACACACACACACACACACATGCAGAAACGCTGGCCACTGAACGTGTGTGTGCACAAGCTGAATTCTGTGGCAAGCTTGCCCTTTTTTTTTTTGAGACTCCAAAAGATATTTCCCCATTTCTAAACGTCCCTTTTTACGGAGAGACGCACAGAAAGAGGAAGCACTTTGCGGGTGTGTAAGAGAACATGAGGATTCTGGTTTTACTGCCGGAGAATGAAAAGAAAAAAGGCAAGATTGAGGTAAATTTTACTGCATTTTAATTCTCGGGTTGCTTGTCCTGTGTAAATGCCGTGGGAAGATGGTAGGTTTGTGTTTTAGTTGTGCTTTAAAGACAGTGATATGTTTTATGACGTTTTAAATAATCTTAGCATGTTGCAGTCTTTTGGGTTTATTTGAGCATGTTAATGCCTCAGGACAGCAGATTTCAGAGCAAGTTTGGATGGATTTTATGTAATTGATTTCTGCACAGGTGTCACTTCATCGGTTTCGCAAAATAAAAAGTCGCCTTTCAGGCTGGCTCTGTTTGTCAAGATGAATGAAATGCGTTTTCGGGTAAACCTGCGTGTTTGAAACTTCAAGCATGTTTATGAATCTTCTGTAACTGGTTTAATTATTCAAAAAATGTCTGACGTTAAGGTTGGTAATGTGTAGTTGTGTTTTCAGCGCTCGTAATGCATCTGCTACCTCGTTGAACCTCATTTCGTAAAAAAACGCAAGCAGAATAACTTGGCTATTGTGTGGAAATTTACATGAGTGTTTTTATTAAGAAATTAAACAAATTTGTGGTTAGATGTGCTCTATTTATGTTCTCAAATGTTTCAGTAAGCACTAACAGAGGAAAGTTTATGGATTTGTATTTTTCCCCCTCTGAATTTTTTTTTATGTATGCATTTTTGCAGATTTTCTCCATTTAATAGTCCTCGCCTTGTCTAGTTGGTTTCATTTTACAAATAAGCGTGCACACAGAGCCGTTTGGCCATTGTTAAAGATATCGCCCTTCAGATATGAAGGTTCATGTTTGTGGTTATCTGAACTGAATGAAGGTTATCCATACGGTGCACCATGTGGCAATGAGGGGGCCTCTGACTAGATAATGCAGTGGGCGGGGTCGGTCCTGGTTTAATTCATGGTGATTGGTTTTCAACAGCTGCCGGTCTCAGGAAACCTCCTGGATGTGTACAGCAGTCAGGGCATGGCGGTACCCACCATCACCGTCAGCAACTCCTGCCCTGCAGACCTGCAAAACGTCAAGAGAGAGTTGAACGGTGTGTATCTCCGTCTGTGATCTTCCATCTCTTTATTTTGCTGCTTCCTCTTCCTCATTTCTGTGACACCGATCCTTCACCGGCCAGTCGAGTCAGTCTGACTGTATCAGCAGAGTCACACACCACATTTGCCATTTCCCAATTTCACAGCAGTGCCCAGTTCAGATCTGTTCTCCCACACACAATATTAGAATACAGTCATGGTTGCATATGATTCATTATCGTATCAGTGGATATTTACGCTTTTGCAGAACTTGTGACTGATTAGTGTAAATACCCATCATTCATCAGGCATTGCCCAGCGTGCAATCAAAAATGAAAGAATTATAGAAGTAAAACTGATGTTTTAGTAGCAATTGCAATAAATTAACAGTGTTTTATGAGACATTTGGAATAATAGAAGTGCGGATATTGTTTGTGAATGTTATTTAGCTAACATAATAGCTTAAAGGTGAAGTGATGTACTTCCTTGTATCTAATTTTACTATCAGAAACTACTATAAATAAGTTATTTGTTGGTTGATTCTGACGAAAAGTCCCACTTCTCAGTCAGACGATGCTATAACTTTAAGTTTGAGTTTAGGATTGGACCATCTGTTTGCTCAACCAATAGCAGATAGAGGGAGCGTTCGGGATACCTGTTTGAAAACAGTCATTATTTTGGCATTTCTGTCTAGTGATGCAAGTGACAAAGAAATTCACACTTCCCCTGTAAAATTAAATACAAATTGCCATGTTAATTGTTGTTTTATAGATGCAGAGGCGAAAGCTATTATGAAGGAGAGACAGAAAAAAAACAACCATAACTTGAGTGAGTTTGATTTCTTGCAGATTTTACCTGCAGTTTCTTTTTTATCTCTGAGATCTGTCATCACTATGTGCACATGAACACCTGAAGGTTAATCATCCTTAGTGGAGTATAAGGAAGTGAATTACATTTCAGTTAATCTGAAACAAACATCTTGCCTGTCTAGTCATTCCCATCAATTTAAAGTATGTGTGTGTTTGTGTGTGCGTTTTGTAGTTGAGAGAAGAAGAAGGTTCAACATTAACGACCGCATTAAGGAACTTGGAGCTCTCATTCCAAAGTCCTCTGACCCGTCAGTATCACTGCTCTCGTTCTCACTTCTGTCTGGTTTTCAACAGTGACTGTTTCCAGTGCTGAAAGATTTCAATTTGAGAGATCATTTAAGTTATAATGACAGTTCATTAGAGAGAGTATTATTTTGTTGTATCGAAATTGTAAAAATATGATTTTAATGTCATAAAAATGTCATTTTATTTATTTATTTATTTTTAAATGATAAAAGTTTTCTTTTAAATTTAAGTGGCAATTAAATTTTTCCCCACTGTATTTGTTTTATTAATACTTTTTCATGATTTTGTTCAGTACATGTGTCTGTAAGAGTGTCTGCATGTGTTTTCTCAACAGCGAGATGCGCTGGAACAAGGGCACCATCCTGAAGGCGTCAGTTGACTACATCCGTAAGCTACAGAAGGAGCAGCAGAGAGCCAAAGAGATGGAGATGAGACAGAAGAAACTTGAACACTCCAACCGCAGCCTACTGCTGCGCATTCAGGTATGCTGCATACAGTAGATTTCCACAAAAACTCTTTTACTATATTTAAATCCATTCCATATCCATTTTCCCCCCAAATCACCACAGAATTATTATTAGTAATAATAGTATTACTTATATTCCATTATTGCACTATTTATCAATATTTTGATTTAGCTTTTATTTTTATACTTTCAGTTTTCATTTTTATTTAGCAATTTCATTTTCATGCTTTTGTAATGTCCATGAATTTTTTTTTTAATAATTCTAATTTTTCTATTGTTTTTTTAAATATTGAATTCCACAGATTTTTCACCAAATCACCATGGAATTAGTAGTATTTATGTACTATTATTATAGTATTTCTAAATATTTTGAATTAGCTTTTATTATTTCACTTTTTCATTTTAATTTTAGTTATATTGTTATTGTTTTTGTCATTTTTATTATTATTATTTTATATTTCTGTTTAGCTTTAATCTATTTTTATTTCAGTTTAAGTTTTGTTAATATTAGTACTGACAATTAAACTTATTTTAAGTTAGTTGCCAAGGCAACATTTATCATTTTCATCTGATATTTATATTTTATTTCAGTTATGTTTCAATTAGTGAAAATAGTTTTTAATATTTTTAGTTTAAGTGAATAATAACAACACCACACAGAAAATGTGAAATGTGAGTAATCATTTTGGTTTATTTTATTTTATGTATTATAATATTTTTTTATTATTATTTTGCCATTTACCCAAAAAATTTGCATCCTCTTCTCAAACCTGATAGTAATAATAATAATGAATTGGAGCAATGGCCTGGCGGTTAAGCACATATTCCAGACACATTGAGCTCTAGTGCTAATTCAGACTTAATTTAGACAAAATTTTTATTTAAGATTCTAAATAGACTCTAATTTGAGTCCAACTTTAATTGTGTCCTGATTCCGAGCCCACTTTCTTCCAAGTAATTTCTTACTGTCAAAAAGAAAGATGGATTTAAGAGACATTGACAGCGATTAAAACGCTGGAGGTCGGTTAGTCTGTGTGCTGTTGCTTTCAAATCAGGCAGGATCAGGCAGCAGATAAATGTCTATAATCTGCTAATCACCGCATCACACCATCGCTCATTTGCATAAAGCTGACCTTTGTTCAACTCTTATTGAAACTTGGCATCTTGAGGCAAATGTGCCTAATTGTCATTTCCTTAAGTTGTGATTTGAAATGCATGTTGTGCATGTGTAAATGCCCCTCTTGCAGTTTAATGATTGAGCCTGTGTGATCGACAGGAGCTGGAAATGCAAGCACGTCTCCACGGCATCTCATCATCTCAGATATCTGACTCCATGCTGACCCAGACGCAGACTTCAACTCTGGATCACAACCCCAGCAACGATCTCTCCAAGACCCTTCTGTCCCTCAACCAGACCACGCCCTCTTCTTTCTTATCTCCACCTTCTTCCACTTCCTCAGTGGGCGGGACGGTCACCAGCCCTCTGGACTTCGGGACACTCAGTTTCAGCGAGCTGGACGACCCAGCAGCCTCTGTGTTTAATCCAGCCCTGATGGCGGATATGGGATTAGGAGATATTTTGATGGATGACAGTGGTGCTCTGTCGCCCGTAGGGGATGCCGATCCCCTGCTTTCCTCTGTTTCCCCGGGAGCATCCAAAACGAGTAGTCGTAGAAGTAGCTTCAGCATGGAAGAAGACTTGTGACGTCTTCAATTCGGACGATAGTATTGCTTTACGGTGCAAATCCTGCTTGCGCACTCCATTGTCGGCCAGTAGAGGGCAGTGTAATCATAAAGTCTATAGTAATCGCCGTACTGTAGAAGTCCGAGATCCTCAAGACTTTTTTCTAGAGGTGACACAAGTAGCAGACGCTGACATTTAGAGCCTCGTTTATTATCTGGACCTCTGATAAATATATAGAAGAATATATGTACATAGAGTAGATTTAGTGCTAAACATCTATTTTGTGTTTTTTTATGCAGTTGTATGAAAAGTAGCACTGTATTATTAACTCGTAGACACTCACCACATGAATTTATTAAAAACGTTGGGGGGAAAAAATGCCAGAATAGCAAAATATATGATTTTTATTTTTATTTTTTCGTTTCAGATCCCACTCATATAGTGGGCTCCAAAAGTATGAGACTTCAAACCTGGCAATATGCAAGACGCAGGAATTTGAATCATAAATAAAGTAAAAAAATATTTTAGATTCTGCACTTAAAAAGAGATAAACCAAATACTAAGATATTTTCAGATTCTCTTGTTTTTCAGTTTAACATTGAAATTAAATTATGATGCTAATAATATACACTATTGTTTAAAAGTTTGATTCAGTCAGTACAATGTTTGAAAGAAATTAATACTTTTATTTAAAAAGATGCATCAAATTGATCAAAAGTGACAGTGAAGACATTTATAATGTTGCAAAAAAAATCTATTTCAAATAAAAAAATAGATCTTTTTTTTTTCAACATTGCTAAGAATAATTGTTTTTTTTCTTGAGCACCAAATCAGCATATTAGAATGATTTCTGAAGGATCATGTGACACTGAAGACTGGAGTAATGATGCTGAAAATTTGCCATCACAGGAAAAAATATTGAAATAGAACACAGTTTTTTAAAATTGTAATAATATTTCACAATATTACTATTTTTACTGTATTTTAATCAAAAACACAAAAAAAATCTTACCAAACCCAAACTTTTGAACAATAGTGTAATTTCTAATGAAAAATATAATATTAAACTATAAATGTCTCAGACGTTTTGGAGCTGACTGTATGTTAGTGTTTACAGTAGTAGCTCATCAAACACAAAAGGGACAGCTGTGTTTTATTTCTCTTCTTTAAATGTGTGAGTGTGTGTATCTGCACGTCCTACATCTGTGCATTTGATAAAGGTGGCAGTAAACCTGTTCCTAAACCTGCTTTTAATGTCGTCAGGAAAAAGCAACAGACAGAAAAGAGAACATCCTGTTCAGCTCGGCTTTCATTTCCTGCTGGGATTTTTGTGTTCTTCTGTGAAACTGCTGTTTGATTGTGGAACAAATTAAAACCAGCTCCACGTCGAGGGTCTGAAAGATTTACAGGGATCACTAACGGCATGAAGTCAAACGAGTGGTTATATTATAAAACAATTATATGATCAATAAGTCATAGCAACATAACTTCAACTCATCAAAATAAACCAATTTCGCCTTCATTTTTTAACATTCAACTCGATTTTTGAAGTCAGTTTAATGTAACTGAAGCTGAAATTACTTTTACAGCCAACTTAATACTTAAAATATACAAAAAAATGTAAGGTAGCAGTTGAAGTAGGTGGAATTTGTTGTTCCAATGTACCTACTGTATTTGTGCCATTGATCTGCAATGCATCTCGGCCTCTTTACTCTATATTCATGTGCTGATGTCAGATTGTCTATGCAAGTACTTCCACAGTGAAGTAGCAGAGGTTTATGTGAGCAGATGACAGTCGTGTTTCCTTTGGCATTCAAAGACCTTCCAGCTCTGAATATTGTTCTTGTTCTCTGCCAGAGAGCAATGAATCATCAAACCGTCATTATCGGGAATTTCTTACTGCAATCCAACATCCCTTATCAGGATTATTATGACATTCACAAGTTCTGTTTTGATTTCTACGGAGACTCATTTTGCTATTATTAATGCTTTTCATACATGCTTATAGTCAGATGCTTTTGTTTTTGAGCTAAAAGCAAAGGAAATCCAAAGAAAACCATTATTTTTTTTATGAATCTGTACAGCGAGACATGACTGAGTTGAATTTACTTCTGGATGACCATGCTTTTTTTAGGTTTTGGCATTGATTTTTTTTTATATACAGATATAAAAAATGGAGTAGTTTTTATTGTGTACATTAGCAATAGCAGCTTGGGAAACTACTGTAGTTATGCAACATTACAGCTCATCTATGTGTTGATGTGTAATATCTATATATTATAAGCTGATTTAGCACTATGGCTTACATAGTTCCTTTGGAGAAGAGATTTTAGTTTTTACCACATTATCAATTTATGTCATAGATTTAAGATTAAACAATATATTTTCACTGCTATTTACTGAAAAATAAAACTGAAAACAATATCCACAGTGATGGATAGTTTTAGTACCTTGTTGGTGAAGAGGGAAAGATGTGTAGATAATACATTCTAGAAAATCACAAAACAGTCCAGTTTAATTAGGGTAAATCTGTCAAAGCTTGTTGCAACACTGTTGCAGAAATCTTTTGGTGTTTCTGGTCAAAAATGGCCAGCGTTTAAAAAAAAATAGCTTGTAAGTCTTTCATTCTGCTATATTATCACCAAATATTGGATTCAGTCTTTTTGTCAACATGTTTTCTTTCAATTACCGCAGGCTTTAGCATTATTTGTGGATAATGTTGGCAGTGTTCTCTCAAAAACTGAGGTGCATTCGCTCAATCAATGAGGCCTACAATCAGTCAGTTCCAAAAAGAAATACAAAACCTGTGCTAACTGAAAGAAAACAAGTTGATTAAAAAATGTGATACTATATTTGGTAATAAAATAGCATAAGATATTTATAAGCAATTTTTTAGGTCGGTCATTTTTGACTGGGAACACCACAAGTGTAACAAGGTGGGACAAAAAAAATTCAAATTTCTTTTCTTTTTTTTAAAGTATGAAATTTATCAAAAAAATGTGGGAAGTTGTGAGCAAAATCAGTAGATTTTAGTCAAATGCAATAACATTAACTAGCATTTTTGGGGAAAAGAAAATGACCCGGTTTAGAGTTTGGATCGATGCAATGTCAGTGTGATCTCTGTATCGTCACATTCAGTGACTCTGTGGCTTTAAGGTGGTTTTATCTCTGGTAAAGACGTCTGTCGTCTTAAAATCTCTACAGCTCGTGTTCAGCCGCCTTGTGATTGATAGGGAATCACGTGTTCTGTTGTTTTTTTTCTTAGATAAATTAAGTACTTTTGTATATATTTCCTTGACGCAATTCATTAAAAAACCTTATGTATAACTGTACTGCAGGAGACTAGAGAAGAATTAGGCAGCGTTTACACTCATCTCATAATTGATCATATCCTGTAGATGTCCACTGTCCGGTCAGACTTGAGCAAAGGGAATGTGTTTGGCGTTTATTCTGTATTTCAGTAGGTCCACAGTGCTTGTGGATGTTTATTCCTGTATTTTCTTTACAACATTGAAACAAGCAAGTTGTGCAGATTTCTTTTTGTACTCTTCAATATATTCTTTTTTTTTTTTTTTTTAGTAAAAATGTATGAATAAAGTTATAAAACAGCTATGCATTTGTATGAGTATTTCATTTTTTTTTAAAGCAACTTTCTATATTTTTTCAAACATCTGAAGGAGAAAACGGTTGAAAATGACAGTAACGTGCAAAATTAAATACACTGCAAAAACTCTTTATGGTCCTTGAAAAAGGCTTCATTTTCTTTATGCAAAAAAAGAAATTATATATATATATAATTATTATTTTGAGTGAAATATGACCCACACGTGAAAATCGATATGGAAAATTCCTTAATATTAACACGGTACATTGGGCATTTTTTTTTCTTTTTCTTAGAGTGTGCTCTTGAGAACTTCACCTAATACCATCTGTACACCGTTTCATTTAATCCTAGTTTTGAGGTTAAAACGGTTCAAACAGCCAGAAGTTGCTTATTGCAGCTGTTTGTCCAGCAGAGTGCAGTAACAGTCTTTGTGTGTCACTTACATCACCACATTTCAATAACCTTAATAACTCTCATATCTTCACAAACCCAACTGCTTAGTTAATTAGTTTGATCTTGTTAGTAAGACTACAGAGAATGCTGTTTAACTGTCAAACGCCCTGTGCCTTTCTGTTGTGTGTCGGTTCTGCATGCCGTTGTTTGTCAAACTCAGCGCTGAATATGTGTTGCTTTCGCCTGACCACAATATCATTGTTATTCCAGCTCTCCTCCTCCAAAACTGCTATAAAACCGTGTGTCTGTTTCTTCTGAATTCTCACTTCCCCATATTAACTGTGTTAGTTTTGGATGAAGCCTCGTGCCCAGCCGCAGACCTGTCCGGGCTGCAGTGCATTCTGGGCAGATCTTCTCGATTGTGTGTTTTAAAAGTTCACTCGATCCTTCGTCAGAGAGCGGGAGTGTCGTTTTATTACGGATAGGATATAAAAATGTTAAAAATGATAAAAAAAAATAGGATATAAAAATATTAATTAACCTTGTTTGTATCAGTATTTAAGTTCTTCCTTTTCTTGTGGTCAGTGTCAGGTCTCCTTACTTTTAATGTGTTGTATCTCTCATCTGTTCTGTTTATCTTGGTGTTTTGGATTAAAGACTTGTGTGGATTACTTTGGATTCTCTGCCTGTCTGTCCACAACACATTCTGACATATTTATATTTTTCAAATAATATTATTTTGTAACTGTTTTAAGTTGAAATGTTATGTTGTTAATATTTTTAATATTATATGTTATTATATCTATATATTTAATATATTTATATTATTATTGCTCAAACGAGAGAAACACCACTAACATAAAGCACAGAGGTTAAACTTGTTATACGTGTGGCTTTCAACCTTCAAGGGCCAAATAAAGGAAGTTATGATTATTTCTTCACCCCATTTGTATGTTGCGGTGCTCCTCAGCCTGAAGAATCTGCAGAGTTTGTTGTTCTTCATGGGTGAGAGTCTTCACGACGTCAGCACTCTTTCTTCTCCAAAACCTTGAATGAACAAAAGGAGGATTGTGGTCAGTCGTCTAGCTAACCCTTCATGCAGCCCCTGAGGCAAAGACGTCACAGTCTACAGGAGACTCGCCAGATGCTCAGTTCTACTGCGTTTGCAATTCTTCATTTGTAAACCACTAAACAAAAGCCAAAAGCATCTGAACAAATTTCAAATGTAAAATAAGGATTTCACTTCAGTTTGATTTCTGGGTAACAGAAAACAGAAACAATGATCTAAGCAGAGCAGACCCACTATCCTACTGACTTCAGCTCTGGCGTGACATTTGGGCTTTGATGTATAAAACGGTGTTTTGTCTTTTTTGGTGCAGTGATGCTGAAAGCTGCATCCTGTCCCTGCAGACACAGAGTGGCGGCGGCTCTTTGAAACAGTGGGCAGGGGCGCTGGGTCAGAACCAGGCCTGGTTTAGGGCCGTCCTGTCGCCCCAGCACTGTCATTTCAGTCACTTCCTCCACTTCCTGTTGACTCCACTTGGCACATCTTACAATAAACATTGCCTTCCTGCCTCCCTGCAGCCTACGATTCAGGAGGTAAGAGTCATCTCCACATGCACTCAACTTGATTGCTTTACAGCATATACAT